CTAGCGTCAGAACCCCAACTCCTACCGGACCAAAGCGAGAAAGCACATGGCCTGGCCCCGTCAGGGTAAAGGACGGAGGTGGTCAGCGGCAGGCCAGCTGGAGGCAGGGAAGCCATGGGGGGCGCGAGAGCTGTGCCCCTCCCCGCCCCGTCCTTCAGCTCCGCGTCTGTGTTGGCCTCGTGCTTGGGCGGGCTTTCTCCACAGCTTAGACCCTCCTGGCTGAAGCTCAAAAGATAGGGAAATTCTCCTTCCTGGTTATGCTAAGGAAAGTCCCATAACTGTGTTTCATTGGATCAGATGGGATCACGTGCCGCCCCTGAACCAATGAGTGTGGCTGGGGGCTGGACTACACTGATTGGCTAAGCCTGTGTCACGTGGGCTCAGGAAGTGCCGGCCACCTCCGTTACTTCCTAGGACCCGGGTCGGGGGAGGGGTAGTCCCCCTAATTAAACCTGAGAGGCTGTTATCAATAGAAGAGGAAGTAGATATTGGCCAGGCAAAAGCACCAGAGCGTTAGGGATCACACAGGCCGGCCCACCTCCGCCTCTGCCTGTGCTGCACGGGGTCTATGTTCTAGGGGATGGACGCTTCCAATCCTGGTCACACAGTGGCAGAGTACTGGGTAGAGCTAGATTTGGCTCCACAGAGCTGAAACCCAAAATAATAGTGGCACAGACAAAAGAGAGGTTATTTCTTTCTCTTATAAAACAGCTCTAGACACAGGCAGCCCACACTCACCCTGCACTGTCCACCATGGCAGCTCACTGGAAAACCCACCTTTCTGCCTCAGTACCTTGGTGCGTGCTTGCCATCCTCAATGCATCCTATGAGTCCCATATGGCTGCTGCCGCTCCAGCCTGGACCTGCCACTGTGTTTGCACTGCAGACAGCAGTTTAGAAGAAAAGAAGGGGCCAGTTCCCTCTGAGCAGCCTCAGTGTCCCACACCACCTTCTGATCACATCTCGTTGGCCTGAACTTCGATGTCACTCCTAGCAGAAGTTAACAACTTCGATGTTTCTGTTTGGTGAATTGCCGCTCTCCCCAAAAGAAAACCTAGGGGGGAATGGACACTGTAGGAGGTACCAGCATTCCTGGTAAACGCCGAGACGTGGGTGACGTTCAGATGAAGCGTAGCCTCTCTCTTCTTCTTTGTTCACAGAGAGAAAAAGAAGTCTTGGTTCCAAACCAGGATATATGAGTGGGACCCCTGCTTTCACTTCCCCAGCAGAATGATTGGAACTATTGTGCTGGGCTTTCATCTGCCTGTATCTGGTGAGTAGCTCTAAGAAAATATCTGTATATGTTTTTAAAGAGTATTTGAATGGCACAGTGAGTGTATGTGTGTGTGTGTGTGTGAGCGAGCGAGCGAGAGACAGAGACAGAGAAATCTTCTATTCACTGGTTCACTCCCCAGCCATGCAGCCCAGAACTCCATCTGGGTCTCCCATGTGGGTGGCATGGACTCACGTACTTGGGTCACTTTCCTTATACATCAGCAAGGGCTGGATTGGAAGCAGAGCGGCCAGGACTCAGACTGGCACTCTGATATGTGGTAATGGCACCACAACCAGCAGCTAACCCTGCCGCGCCACAACGCCAGTCCCTGTTTTCATGGACAGGGTAGGGGCTGGGGTTATGAAGTCTGTGAGACAAGCAAATGTTCCTAAAAGCCAAGTAACAAAGTGAAGAAGTACAATGCCTTGACCCCACCATTTTGACCCCAAGGTCACTTTGGCCCATATAATGAATATTACTAGTAAAGTAACCCAAGCAAAATTAAACTGATAATGCTTAAAACTGCACACAAGAGTGCTGCGTGGGTGTTTGGTAGGGGAGGCAATGCTCCTCCACGTGGCCACTTGGATCCTAGAAGTCTCCCACCGTGTGCCTTTACTCTTCCCAAGGACCTTGTCACCACCTGTGTGCAGAAGGGGAAAGAGCAAAGAGGAGAGGAGAGGAGGCGGTCACGGACTGGGTGTGGAAGGGTCACACCTTCTCTCCGCTGGCAGTGGATTTGTCCATTTTTCAGCTTTAACAAAATACCCAAGGGCTGGTAACGTATAAAGAAAAGAGGTTTCTGTATCTCTCAGTTTTGGAGGTTCCAGGGCGTGGCACCAGAGCATGTCATGGTAAATGACATCATGTGACAGGGTTCACAAGGAGGGGCTGGTCTTGCTCTTTTGTAACAGCCTTCTCCCAGGAGGTAACCAGGATCCCCTGAGAACTACCTCCCCAGGGCATTCTCCTCAATGCCCCCGTCCCTTCCCACTAGGCCTCACCTCTTCAAAGTACCATAGCCTGTCACATCACCACAGTGGGGACCAAGCCTCCAATGCAGGCCCCCTGGGGGTACAAACCACGGGCCAACGGATAGCAGGGCGAGAGCCTGATTATGTGGCCGTACCTGATACCAGGGAGGCTGGCAGGTGTGGTCTGGCTCTGTGTCCCGAGAAGGGAGTTTAATTGAGGGACAGCTAGAGTTTTCTGGGCCAATGACTAGCCCCTGTGGAGTTACCGTGCTCTTACGTAGATTGAGTACTCTCTGGCACGTGCTGGGCCAAGACCTGGAAGAAAGCCAAGAGCTGATTCAGCACAGTCCTGGCCTGGGAGAGAGAAGCCGCTAAGGTGAGGCAGGAGGTGTTGAGGTGGAGGGGACGCACTCTGGGAATTCAGGGAATTACTCTACACTGAGCTTCTGCCTAAAGAGGATAGCATCTGAGCTCCACTTTTGGACAGACACACATCTCTTGGGTGGCGTGGAGAGGCAGCAGAACTATGCAAGCAGTGGCATGAGGACAGGATGATAGGATGGGGGGCAGTTGTGACACGTGGCTGGGAAGCGGTACCTCCTCTGATCTTGCCCCTGCTCGGATCAACGAAGGGGAGCACTGGGAGATCCAGCAAGAGTGATTCCCACCGTCCTCCCTGACTCAAAGTGAGTCATCCTTTTCGTTCTGATTTCACCAATGTTGGGAGCCCCTGGAGTCGATTTCAGAAGAGTTGGGAGTGCCCAGCAGAGACGCCTCAAAAGCCAAGGGACAGCCCTATGTCACAGCCATGCTGGGCTGCACCCAGGTGAGACCTTGAGGCTTCTACTCTGTGTCCGCAGTTCATCGTCACAGAGTTCTGCGTGTTTGTATACATATGCAATGAGCTGGACGTGTTTGAGGCCAAGCTGGAGGGCTACCTCGCCTCCGTGAACCAGACGGGCGCCCTGACCCCAGTCATCCTGCAGGTCAAAGAGCTGATCAGCGTCACCAAAGGTAAAACCATCTGCCATCTCTCTCCCTGCCATCAACACGGGAGAGAGAGAGGAACCCACGGCAGGCATGGACGTGGGGTGATCATTGCTGTGCAGATTAATGTTACTGGCTGAGAACTGGTCTCGGAGGACAATGTGTCAGAGCTGACATAGACTGCCCTAGATGGCTAGAAGGACAAAGGGATCCAAACACAGGTCATCATGTTAACACCTGAATTGGACTGAACGGGCCCTGAAAATTTTCTCAGCATCAAGCCCTGAGTTTTTTCTAAGATCACATGAAAAGTTATTTATATCTTTGAAATTTTATCTACATTCACTTTAAAAAATTGGATTTCTTGAAGTCATTCCTCCTGTTGAACTGAAATTTTGTATCTTTTCACCAACATCTCCCTGGTCCTCACCCCACCCACCCCTGGTAATCACCGTTCTGCTCTCTGCTTCTGCTTTTTTTTTTTTTTTAAAAAAAGATATATTTCTTTATCTGAAGGCAGAGATGCAGAGGGAGAGAGAGAGAGGAGTCCTTCCATCCTCTGGTTCACTCCCCAAATGGATGCAATGGCTGGAGCTGGGCTGGTCTGAAGCCAGGAGCCTGGAGCTTTTTCTGGATCCCCAGCATGGGTGCAGGGGCCCAAACACTTGGGCCATCTTCTTCTGCTTTCCCAGGCCATAGCAAAGAGCTGGATCAGAAGTGGAGCAGCCGGGACTTGAACCGGCACCCATATGGGATGGCAGCACTGCAGGTGGCGGCTTTACCTGCTACACCACGGCACTGGCCCCTGCTCTCTGCTTTGGTGACTGTGCCTTTGTAGCTTCCACGTACAAGGGTGATCCTGTAGGATTTGTCTATCTCTGCCTTGCTTAGTTCATTTACTGTAATATCCTCCAGGTTCATCTGTGTTGACAGAGTTCTGTCTTCTTCCTCTTCCTCTTCATTTTCTTCTTTTTTCCTGACAGAATAGTATTCCTCTGGGGGTATACCCCACTTTCTTTATCTGTTCATCCATTGATAAATACTCAGGGTGATTCCATATTTGGCTATTGTGATTAATCCTGCAGCAAACATGGGAGAGGAGTTGTCTTTTCAGCTTTCTGATTTCACCTCCTCCGGCTATTTGCCCTGCAGGGGTATGGCCAGACCATATTGCAGGTTTTTTTAAACTTTTGGAGGAACCTCCATAATGGTTGTCCTAGTTGATGTTCCCACCTTTTCCCCACATCCTTGCTGACATCTTTTTGTCGATAGCCATCCTGTGTGAAGCGTGCGGTGATATATCATCGTGGTTTTCAATTGTGTTCCCGGATGATTAGCAGTGTTGGGTATTTTTCATATACCCTTTGTCCAGCTGTGTGTCTCCTTCCACGGATCGTCTACTCAGGTCCTTTGCCCTTTTTTTTTTTTTTTTTTTTTTTTTTTTTTTGGACAGGCAGAGTGGACAGTGAGAGAGAGAGACAGAGAGAGAAAGGTCTTCCTTTTGCCGTTGGTTCACCCTCCAATGGCCGCCGCTGCAGCCGGCGCACCGCGCTGATCCTGGCAGGAGCCAGGAGCCAGGTGCTTTTCCTGGTCTCCCGTGGGGTGCAGGGCCCAAGCACCTGGGCCATCCTCCACTGCACTCCCTGGCCATAGCAGAGAGCTGGCCTGGAAGAGGGGCAACCGGGACAGAATCCGGCGCCCCAACCGGGACTAGAACCCGGTGTGCCGGCGCCGCAAGGTGGAGGATTAGCCTATTGAGCCACGTCGCCGGCCAGGTCCTTTGCCCTTTTTTGCGTGGTAACAGGAAGGTCGCTTCATCCTCAAGTGGAAGCGTTCTTTGAAGATGATATGTTCTAATGAGAACTGCAGGGAGCGGAGTTGTTCACTTCTCCCAGACGAGGAAGGGCCCCAGGCGAGAAGTCAGGATAAACTCACTGTGGGTCACAGGACAAGTCACGACCCCTCTTCTGGCCTCTGCTTCTTCATCCGTAACGTGGGGTTGGATAGGGGTGCTCAGTAGTTTCCAACAGGATTTCTAGTTCTGATATTTGATGGCCACAGATTTCAAAATGCTCCCTAAGCCATGGGACAGATGGTGCAAGTGACTGTCCCCCTTCAGATTCATGAGTGGGGAGAGCACCGAAACCAGAGAGGAGCAGCTTCCATGGGAATTCTTCGCCTGCACCTGTGTATGTCCCGGCAATTCCGCTTTCACCTGGCCACTCAGGCACTGCCCTTCAGAATTCCCAAGTCTGATGTTGCCCTGGACACTTGGGTTCGTCCTCAGCATCATGGGTCCCTGAGTGTCACGCTCAGAAAGCATTCTACCATCTTTAATCCCCATAGTACCCATTCCAAGTGTTACTTATTTTTTAAAAATTACTTATCTTTTTTTTAATATTTATTTATTTATTTGAAAGGCAGAGAGAGGGAGAGTCAGAGAGGTCTTCCATCTGCTGGTTCACTCCCCATACGGCTGCAACGGCTGGTGCCGGACCAATCTGAAGCCCCAGGAGCTTCTGGGTCTCCCACATGGGTACAGGGGCACAAGCACTTGGGCCATCTTCCACTGCTTTCCCAGGCTATTAGCAGGGACCTGGATCAGAAGTGGAGCAGCTGGGACACAAACTGTCTCCCCTGTGGGATGCCACTGCTGCAAACAGCAGCTTTGCCTGCTACACCAGAGTGCTGGCTCTTCCATCCTCTGGTTCACTCCTTAAATGCCCACAACAGCTAGGGTTGGGCCAGGCTGGAGCCAGGAACCTGGAACCTCATCCAGGTCTCCCTCATGGGTGGCAGGGACCAGATTGCCTGGCCCGTCACCTGCTGCCACCCAGGGTCTGCGTAAGCAGGAAGCTGGAATTGGAAACAGAGCTAGGACCCAGACCCAGGCACTGGGTTACCGGATGTGGGCGTCCCAAGCAGCATCTTCACTGCTGTGCCAAACGCCCGGCTGTGGGGAGCAATCCGGACTGGACTAAGTTACTCGAATTAGGACTTATTCTATGCATCTGCTCTCCCACAATATGGCGCTGGGAGAGAAGTAAACAGCTTCCGCACAGCTGCCTCCAGTTCAACCAATTAACTGTAGGACTTGCTCCTGATTGGAGAGCAGCGTACTCAGCCGAGTTGGGATTGGCGGAGGAGGACTATAAAGGAGGAGAGAGACGGCATGCACCAAGGAACATCTATGGGGAACATCTAATGGGAACACCTGTGCAGCCCCCGAGAGAGCCGGCCGGCGGTGTGCCGCTCCCCCGCGGAAGTGGGGAATGTGGCAGGGGGAACCGCCCTTCCACGGAGGTGGAAGGGATGGTAGCCAACCCAGGAAGGACCAGCAGCCAACCCGGGAAGGACCAGTAGCCAACCCGGGAAGAACCAGCAGCAAACCCGGGAAGGGCCGAGCAGACAGAAGAACAGTGCAGGGTCCTGTGTCGTTCCTCCACGAAGACGGGGAGCAACATAATGGTGCCGTGACTCGGATATGAAGCCCAGGCAGGGTTTAGTGTTGCTCCTCCACGAAGAGGGGGAGCGACATAATGGTGCCGTGACTCGGATAGGAAACCTAGGACGGAGAGCAAACTTAGGAGGGAAGAAACGTGACTCGGATAGGAAACTTAGGACGGATATGAAACTTAGGAGGGAAGAAACGGGAAGAACTGGGAAAATATCGGAGAGAGAAACTAGCAAACAGCCTAGGGAAAAGCCGGACGAAAAGGGTGCCGGAAGAAGCTATTGAAAGCCTAGGCATAGACTCGGATACGGACTACGGGGGGAAGCTGGGAGAAATCTCTAAGGTCGAAAGCGAAAGTGAAAGCTAGAACAAACAGATTCGGACGCGGACTGTGGGGAGAGGCCAGGAGAAATGAGGGAGGAATATCGTTGGAGGAAAGCTTGGGGAAACATACCGGGTAGAGAAAAATGTTAGGGAAATTGAAGCCGCGGGGGGCAGGCCAAGGCGGAGACGAAAGCCACTTTGGGGTTCTCAAGTTAGCCCAGGAATAGGGGGCGAAAAGTTGAAACCAGAAGCTGAGACGTAAGCCAGATTGGGATCCGTCTGATTAGCCCGGGGAGCAAAGGACGGGAAGCCAAATCGTGGGGCGGAGACGTACGCTGGGTTGAATTCGCCAGGCTAGCCCGGGGAACTTAGATTGAATCCTAGTGGCGGAGACGCAAGCTACGCTGTGTTACTCGCGGAAGCCGCCGCGTGCAGAGAGAGCACGGGGCGTGAATAGATAGGGAACGCTGGCGTAGGCCGTGGTTCAGACGCGAAAGGGTTAAGCGTGGAGACCGCGGACCGCGCAAAGCCGGGAAGCCGCGCAGAGAGGCGCGCGGGCTGAAGCGGCGCAGAGCCGGGAACCCGCCGGCGGGGCGAGGTGCCGGAAAGCCGCAGGGATAAGAGAAACAGAAGTTTGGAAGTGAAGTAAAAGAGAAATGGGAATGCTGGCAGACAGAAGTAAAATGGGAGAAATAGAAATGCCCGGAGATAGAGAAATAGAGAAAAATAAGGCCTCCCCTCAACATGCCAATTAGAAGGCTTGGATTCGGTCTGCCTGATTTAAGGCGGTAAGCGCCAGCAAAGCTCGACCAGAGTATGAGCTGCAGGTCACCGAAGATAGGCACGAACCAACACTAATAAGTCTCCCCCACAATACGGCAATGAGAAGGCTTGGATTCGGTTTGCCTGATAGGTTTTGTAAACACCTGCAGGCAGTTCTAGCAGAGCAGAGCATGCGCTGCAGGGCACCGAACACAGGCACGCATCAGCGCCTAAAAACCTCCTCACAATGGCGAAGAGAGGACCCGGATTCGGTTTTCCTGATTGATAGGACTTGTAAGAGCCTGTGGCAACTCTAGCAAGTACAGCAGAGCGTGTGCTGCGGGACACCGAAGACAGGCGCGTATCAACGCTAAAAAATAAAAAGAAAGGGGGATCTGTGGGGAGCAATCCGGACTGGACTAAGTTACTCGAATTAGGACTTATTCTATGCATCTGCTCTCCCACAATATGGCGCTGGGAGAGAAGTAAACAGCTTCCGCACAGCTGCCTCCAGTTCAACCAATTAACTGTAGGACTTGCTCCTGATTGGAGAGCAGCGTACTCAGCCGAGTTGGGATTGGCGGAGGAGGACTATAAAGGAGGAGAGAGACGGCATGCACCAAGGAACATCTATGGGGAACATCTAATGGGAACACCTGTGCAGCCCCCGAGAGAGCCAGCCGGCGGTGTGCCGCTCCCCCGCGGAAGTGGGGAATGTGGCAGGGGGAACCGCCCTTCCACGGAGGTGGAAGGGATGGTAGCCAACCCAGGAAGGACCAGCAGCCAACCCGGGAAGGACCAGTAGCCAACCCGGGAAGAACCAGCAGCAAACCCGGGAAGGGCCGAGCAGACAGAAGAACAGTGCAGGGTCCTGTGTCGTTCCTCCACGAAGACGGGGAGCAACACCCGGCCTTAAGTCTTACTTTGGAAAATCCTCATTTCCCTCTCTGTTCTGGGCAAGATTTTGGTGTTTTTTTTTTTTTTTTTCAGGGAAGTTTTTAAAGCAAACCTCAGTTTCTTGTTCTGGGAACATTGCAGTGAATAGAATCACCGTGCTCATTCCTGTTTTAACGAATTTCTCGCAAGTATACACACTTTGAGGATGAAGGTAAAACTGACCATGTTGCCTGGTCTCTTCAAAGCTTTAACGTGGCCATGCTCTTGCAACAAGACAGGTTTCACCTGCACTCAATTTCCTGTTGCCTGAGAAGGTAAAGGCATTCCATGAGCGTGTGAAGCTGGGCTCCCTCTGCTGGAGGGGGGCAAATCTGCACTCACTGTGGACAAACTCCTTTCTCCCAACGATCTGCCCCTGTGTGCCCCGCAGAGGGATTTATGGGGAATTAATCATATTCTTTGAGCTGGCGGTGATCTGGGAAACAGAAATTGCTCAGTCCTGGTGAGCCAGGCACAAGGCACAATTTGAAACTTGGATGGGAAACAGCTTTCATTTTTCTTTAAGAACAGCTCAGTGGAGGTGTATTTCACATACCTCCCAATTCAGTCCCTTAAGTATACAATTGGATCTTTCGTAGCATATTTTCAAAGTTCAAGGTTCTGCGACCATTGCCATGGTCAGATTTTGAGCTTTATACCACCCTCCCCTGGATCATCCCCAACCCTCCCATCATACACAATCGTTAATCAACTTCCTGTCTCCATGGATTTGCCTATTCCACGCCTATCACATAAATGGGTTCCTAGACTATATAACCTTCTGTGACTAGCTTCTTTCACCTAGCATAATATTCACAAGGTTCATCCATACTGTAGCTTTTCCTTATTTTTTTATTCCTTTGTATTGCCAAATACTATTCCATTGTATGGATAGATGGCATTTTATTTATTCAGTCATCAGTTCATGGATGCTTGAGTTGTTTCAAAGTTTAGGCTGTTATGATAAATACTGCTGTGAAATTCATGTTCAAATTTTCATATACCTTGGGTATATACCTAGGAGGTGATTTGTTGGATCATATGGTAACTCTATACTTGGTCAATTAGAGAAATTTTAGACTATTTTCACAAATAGCTGCATCAATGTATTTTCCCATCAACAATGTAGGGATTCCAATTTCTCCACAATCTCATCACACTTACTATTATTTGTCTTTTTGATTATAGCCACCTAGCGAGTGTAAAATGGAATCTTATTGATTTGATTTTCATTTCCCTAGCGTTTAATTATGTTGAGTGGCTTTATATGTACTTATTGGCCATTTGTATATATTCTTTTGAGATATGTCCATTAAGATTCCGTGGTCATTTTGAAATTAGATTATTTGTCTATCTATTATTGAACTGTAAGTAGTCCTATATAATCTGTATATAAACCCCTTGTAAGATAGATGATTTGTAAATTTTGTGGGTTGCTTTTTAAAGAAAACTTCCATTCTATGGGTTGCTTTTTTTTAAAAAAAGTATTTATTTAAAAAGCAGAATGAGAGAGGGTGAGAGACAGAAAATGAGATTTTCCATCTGCTGGCTCATTCCTTAAATGGCCGTAGCAGCCAGGGCTGGGCCAGGTTGAAGCCAGGAGTCTGGAGCTCCATCCAGGTCTCCCACATGGGCGGCTCCCCCATACGGGATGCTGGCGTCGCAGGCGGCTGAACCCTGGCTCCACTCTTTCACGTCTTGGGTGGTGCCCTTTGAAACACACATGTTTCCAACTTAGATGGAGTTTGATGTTTCTGTTTTTTTTTGTTATCACTTGTGCTTTGGATGTTATATATAAGGAACCATTTCCTAACGCCAAGCCCCAGAGATGTATCCTCATACTTTCTTCTCAGAGTTTTATAGCTTAAGCTGTGACATTTAGACCTCAATCTATTTTGAATTAATTTGTGTACACAGTTTGAGGCAGGACTCTAATTTCATTGCATGTGGACTTCCAGTTGCTCCAACTCCACTTGCTGGAAGGCATACTCTTCCTGCATTGAATCATCTTGTCATCCGTGTAGACAGTAAGGTGATAATAACTATGAGAATTTATTTCAAATTCTCAGTTCTATTCCATTGACCTATTTGCCTATCTTTATACCAGTATCATGTTGGCTTCATTACTGTAGCTTTGGACTAAGTTTGAAATCGGGAACTGTGAGTTCTGTAATTTTATTTATTTTGGGGGGGATATATTTCCTATCCTGGGTCCTTTTATTGTTGTATGAATTTTAAGATTAGCTTGTCACTGAATGCAAAAAATTGGCATTGGAATTCTGATAGAGATTGAGCCTGTAAACCATTTGAGGGCTATTGTGATGTTAACAGTGAATGTCCTATAGTGAATCTGGGCTGTCTTTCCGTTAATTGAGGTTTTCTTTAATTTCTTTCAAAGTCGTTTGTGTAGTTTCCAGTGTACAAGTTGTATGTCCTTTGGCTAAATTTATTCTTAAGCATTTTATTTTTTAACACTATTTTTTAAAGATTTATTTATCTGAAGGCAGTTACAGAAAGGCAGAGGCAGAGAGAGAGAGAGAAGGTAGAGACAGAGAGAGAGAGGTCTTCCATCTGCTGGTTCAGTCCCCAGATGGCCACAACAGCCGGAGCTGCACCAATCCGAAGCCAGGAGCCAGGAGCTTCCTCTGGGTCTCCCATGTTGGTGCAGGGACCCAAGGACTTGGGCCATCTTCTACTGCTTTCCCAGGCCATAGCAGAGAGCTGGATTGGAAGAGGAGCAGCTGGGAATCAAACCAGCACCCATTTGAGATGCCAGCACTGCAGGCAGCGGCTTTACCTGTGACACCAGAGTGCCGGCCCTCTTTCCAACACTGTTGTAAATGTGATGGTTTTCTGCATTTTTAGAGTATTCAATTCAGGATATAGTCGGTTTTTTATATACTGCCGTTATATCCTGCAAATCTTGCTGTACTCATTCATCAGTTCTAATAGCTTTTTTGGTGTGCATTCCATAGGTCATTCTATATATAAGGTCATGTCCAGCGTGAGTAGAGATAGCTTTCCTTCTTCCTTTCTAATCGGCATGCATTTTAGTCTCTTTTTCTTGCCTAATTGCACTGGCTAGAGATCTCCAGTACCATGTTGACTAGACGTGGTGAGAGTAGACATTGCTTGTGCTGTTGTTGATGTTAGGAGAAAATCATCGAGTCTTCATCAGTAAGTGTGGTATGAGCTATGGGTTTTTGGCAAGGTGCCTTTATCAGACGGAGGATATTCCCTTCTAGTCCTGCTTCGTTGAGTGTTTTTACTCCTAGAGAGATGTTGGCTCTTGTCAAATGTTTCCTCTGTACCTGCTGAGAAGCGGCATCTACAGAGGCTCTAACCCAACCCTTCATCTTCCTGCTTCCACATCCCTCTCTCACCACCGCACCAGGTTGCTCTGGAAGAAAGGAGAAGCAGATTCTGCATGTCAGAAGCTGCTGAGGGTGGAGGGTCAGCATCCAGGAGCTCTTCTCGGTTCTCCTTGACCTTGGGTGCTGCGTGACCAACATCACCTTGCAAAAAAAAAAAAAAAAAAAAAAAAAAAAGGAGTCCAATAGTTCGGAGCGCCAGATTCTGTCCCGGTTGCCCTCTTCCAGGCCAGCTCTCTGCTGTGGCCCGGGAGTGCAGTGGAGGATGGCCCAAGTGCTTGGGCCCTGCACCCCATGGGAGACCAGGAGAAGCACCTGGCTCCTGGCTTCGGATCAGTGCAGTGCGCCAGCCGTGGCGGCCATTGGAGGGTGAACCAACGGCAAAGGAAGACCTTTCTCCCTTTCTCTCTGTCTCTCTCTTTCACTGTCCACTCTGCCTGTCAAAAAAAAAAAAAAAAAAAAGTCCAATAGTAATGATGTTTTTTGGGACAGAGGCCATCTATGGCGCATATTCTCTACGATTTTCTCTTGCTTTATTCACTGTAGAGTGAAGATATTAGCACTAAAGGAGAGCATTGCACAGGGAAAAATGTCTAGTGAGTAAAAGCAGAAAAATGAACCAATATTTTCTTACCCAAGAAAAGTGTGAAAGGAAGTATAATAGATTTCTGCCTTTCACTTTCTGATACAAGATTCCAACTTGGGATGTCCCATTTCATGTTTATTTTTGAGGCCTCTCATGTGACTTTTCATATTTCAGGAGTCTGGGTGGTGACCATTTTGCCTGCCTCCCTCACATGTGTGAGCTACCTGTTCCACATTCTGGTCTGTTACAGGTAAGAGGGTGCAGAAAGTCATGTGTGTGTCCCTCAGCAGCCATGTGCATGGCAGGATTTTCTCAGAATTCCTGAGCAGTGCCTGCAACGCCCAGCATGAGCCCAGGAAGTGAATACAAGGTCCAGGGAATAACCATGGTAGAGTTGTTGGTAGGAAGGAAGAAGAAAGAACTACTGATTTGACCTTCTATGATGAGCTAACATGATGCTTAGCATCTTCATTTGTGCTTCACCCAACCCTGAAAACAGAGACCCAGCAAAATTAAACAAGTTGTCCAAGAAGTGAGGAGATGACCAAGTTTTCCGACTCGAGGTTTTCTTAATGCCTGCACACACAGTCATCTCTATTGGCTGTTAGGCTTCCTCTCTCTCCTTTAAAACACTGGGCTCCTAGCAGGTGGATCCAGCCCAAGGAGACCTCAGTGGAGATTTAACTAAAGGGACCAGGAGCATCAACCTCAAACCAGCAGTGCAGGAAGAAGCCCTGACCTGAATATGTAGCGAGCATCTGCACGCACATAGCACTTCAATTTTAGTATCTGTTGAGCGTGTCGCGCTCGCTCACACTCACTCACACTCACAGGAAGCCTGGCATGAACGGCCTCAGCTCTCCGCTCAGCCTTTCCTTGCTCCCTCCCTCCACTTTCTTCTCCCTGGGCGGCAGGGGTGATCTGCACTCTGCTGCTGACCCCCGCCTGCCCGACAGACACCTGTCTGCCCCTTCCCTCAGCCTGTGTGCACTGAGAGAGCTTCAGAGGGAGCATGACCAGGGACAGCCACGCCGCAGAGGCGACTGCACAGACCTGGGGGGGAGCTGGAGGTGGGGGAGGTTAAGGCATGGGGCACAGGAGTCCTGCGTTCCCGTCCAGGCTGCCCCTGTCACCCAGCAGGGACGGTCCCTGATGCCGGCACTGCAGGTGGTGGGTTTACCCGCTAGGCCACAGTACTGGCCCCTAGGAGCCACTCTTAAAAAAGTAAAACGAGACTTATTACATTGATTTTAGAAATATGTTTTACTTCACCCAATATATCCCAAATGTTATACCTCAAAATATCAGACAGAAAAATCTATCAATGAAATAGTTCCAGTGTTTATTTCATTCTATGGATTTCCAAGGTAGTGGTCAAGAGAAGTGCGAGAGAACCTGGAAGAGTGCTGGAGACATAATGTTGAATATAAGAGCAGGTGCAGCTGTGACCACAGAATGGGGCCGTGCCATTGGCACAGGGTGAGGACCACAGAGAACAGGGGCAGGATACAGCACCTGGGGAGGGGAGGGGGGCTCCTTATCCCAGCTTGATTTCCCTTTGTGTTTTTATAAGGCTTTAGGCTAGCAACAAAACTGGTTCTCTGTTTTTAACTGGTTTGAAATCTCACTCTTTAAATGTTACATATTCGCCATAGGAAAAATAAGAAAATACAGGAAGTAAAGTGAATAAAAGCCACACCTGGTCTCCTCTGTCAGACTCAGTCACTTGGTGTGTGTGTGTGTGTGTGTGTAAATACAATTTTGACAAAACATATTAAACTTGAAGACGTTGAAGGCACATTGGAGCTGAGCCCACTCCAAGGCAGTGAGCTGTGAACGTGACTTCGTTTCCCACTTTTCCGCAGAAAGCACATGAAGAGGCTGTGGGCAGGAGACAAGCACTTCCTCCCCTTGAAGTTCCAGAACCCGTCGTCGTCGGGGAGCGTGGTGAGTCTGCAGGGACCTCGCTCCAACCTGCTCTGCAACACCCAGCCAGGGCAGGGCGTGCAGAGTCCTTATGCCCAGACCCCCTCTGCTGCTGGCCGACTCGGGACAGCTCCTCGGCCCCCCTCCCCCGCCCTCAGTTGCCTCCTCTGTAAATAGGGACGATCACAGCGCCTGCCTCCCTCGGTGGGTGGGTGACTCTCAGATGAGCCAGGCACGCGGGGCACACGAGTAATGAAGGTGACCTCCTGCTCAGAGACCCCTTTTTTCCTTTACGACCTCAGGTGGCCATTGCAAGGTACTCTGGCTGGCAGATCGCCTACATTCTTTGGGGTAAGCGTCATCCTGAGACCCACTTTCCCTGGACTCCTGTGGAGTCCTGCCTGGGGGAAGCAGCCTGAGCTTCGGCCCTTAAGGGACCCTCAGGATAGGGGGTGCACACAGTGGGTCACCTTTACCACCTGCCCTGAACCCACAGAACGTGTATGCTAAGGGCAGGGGTGACCCAGAGGAAGAAGTGTCTATCCACACCCAGGGCAGGTCTCAGTGCTTTCCAAGGGAGCTGGCATTTGAACTGTGCCTGGCGGGGGGGGGGGGGGGGGAGCAGGGGGAAAGGCGCGTGGCTGTGCCAAGTGGAATCAACAGCATCGACAGCCGAGCCAGGGCCTCTGGGGGAGGAGGGAGAGCTTCAGAGGGGGGCAAAGGGGTAGGTTGTGAAGGCCGTGCAGTGACCCTGGCTCCCCCGCCCCCAGGCTATCTCATCATCCACGTGGTGCAGAGCCTGTGCGGCATGGCCATCACGTATGGCCTGGTGTTGCCCTGTATGCACAATCGCAGCCTGGAGATGCTCCAAGGGCTGGGCATCGGAATGTAAGTGCTGGTGGGCAGCCTGCCTGCGTTCCGGGATCTGGGCCCCCAGCTGCTGGCCAAAGCCCCCTTCCCTGCTGGGATCTCACCAACCCCTCAGTCCCTGGTCTTGGCCATCATCACATCAACTCACAGGGAGGAGAACCTTCGAGTTAACAAAAGACTTCCCCCTCCAACTGCGACTGGGGCCCTCCCAACTCTGTGTGTGTGTGTGTGTGTATATATATATATGTGAGAGAGAGAGAGAGAGAGTGAGAGGTATGTCGATTTTCCAAGTGTGAAAATAGAGGTTTAGGGAAAGAAAGTAGGAGACAGGACAGCGTTGGTGGAAGGAGGCAGGGGAGCCTGTTAAGCTTTTGGATCTGTTGTGTGTGACGTGGGGAAGTTGTTTCCTCTGTCTGGAAGACAGCGTTGAACACTAGCATCCCTCAGCACATGGATGCACCTGTTCTCCTAACAGCCTGTGAGTCGGGTGCTGATGTTAGCACAAGAGACAGAGGCACAGAGAGGCCAAGCATTCTCTCTAAGCTGATGGAAGGTGTGGCTTTTGGAGCTGGGCACTCTGAAAGCAAAGCCTCTGGCTATCACCCACATGGTCACGCTAGAGGACGTCAACCATGTGCATGGTGCTCCCTGGGGATCTTCCTGCTCTGAACTCCTTCATTCCATACCTAGAGCCACCTGTGTGTCTGAGGCAGAGCCAGCCCTGTCCACTCTTCTCAGGCACCTCCCCAAACCCTATTTATACTTCTGATTCCAAAGCTGTCCACACCTACCCAGCTGACACTCCCTGGTAAGAGGGGACCTCAGTGAACTCCTAGAGTAATGGGCTGTGATCTGGACTCAGAAGACCTGGTGCTGGGGCTGGTGCTATGGCATACTGGGTTAAGCTGCTGCCTGTGACACCAGCATCCCATGTGGGCACCCATAAGAGTTACAGCTGCTCCATTTCCAATCCAGTTCCCTGGGAATTCAGCAGAGAATGGCTCAAGTCCTTGAGCCCCTACCACCCAAGGGGGAGACATGAATGAAGCTCCTAGCTCCTGACTCCTGGCTGTGGCCTGGCCCAGCCCTGGCTGTTGTGGCCATTTGGGGAGTGAGCCAATGGATGGAAGATCTCTCTTTAATTCTGCCTTTCAAATATGTAAATTAATTAATTAAAAAATAAGAAGACCTGGGCACATGGCCTTAGGAGAGCCACCTCCACTTTGTGAGCCTGTGTTCTCGGCTGTGCCGTGGGTACGCACATGCCCTGTAGGTAGTAAGGCACGGCGCTCACACTCCTGCTGTTGCACTGGGCAGTCAGTGGCATCAGAGCGGGGCCCCGGGAGCATGAAAGGCTGCCTGCAGATGGGCTCGCCCTGTGTTCCAGCCTCACCGTGTCCATCGTCGTGGGCCTCATGATCCTGCAGGTGTGGATCGCCTCCAGCTTCTTCCTGCAGCCAAAGCTGGGCCCAGCTGACAAGCAGAAGCCCCTGGCTCTCAACAACAGGTGAGGGGAGAAGGAATGCGCAGTGTCCCCAGGCAGTTTCCCTGGGTGGGCGCTACTGCCTCTGTGAGGTTGTGGTGCAGGAGCCCAGGGAGGGCCCTGGGGTCTGGCCGCCTGGGCCCACTCCTGCCTCCAGCCCTTAGGTGCCACGTGCCCTTGTGTGACTTAAGCAAACATCTGCGAACTTCAGCTCCCCCGGGGTTAGGAATACTCGTGCAGACCTCAAAGAGCTTGAGGTATAAGCCTGAACTGAGGATGCCAGTGCCCAGCACAGGGCAGGGCTGTCCAGGGCTTTCATGCAAAGCCGTTCACTTAGTGGGGGAGCAACGTGGGCACTGAAGGTAAAGAGTTGACTTCGATACCTCTGGCTTGCGAGAAGCTCACAGCCACAGAGCGAGTGGTAGAGGCCACGAGGACGGCAGGCTTCAGGAGGAAAATGAATAATGGAAGGGAAGAGGCAGGGGAGGTGCAGGAGAGGCAGGGGAGGTGGAGGAGAGGTGGAGGGGGAAGAGAGGAGAGGTGGGGAAGGAGAGGTGAGGGAGGTTCATCTCACAGGGCCTGGAAGGAACGCAAAGCTGCACTGGACAGGATGCTGGGATCTCTGTAGGCAGCGAGGAGAGGGTGTGGCCGGCAGCCAGCACAGCAAGGGTGCAGGCAGAAAGCCACAGACTGGCAGGACACGATAGCAGAAGAGTCAGAATCCAAAATGATTGCCACGCCGTGGCCACCCGTGGTGAGGGACAGGAAAGGGACACAAGTGATAAGGCAAGAAAAGTCCCTTTCAGAGGGGCCCTGAAAAGCAGGATGCAGAGTCTGGGCTTCTTCCCAGAGGCAACAGGAAGGCACAAGATCTGGTGGTCCTTTGGGGAAGGTTCCTCCCTCTTAGGGGACTTCGGGACCTCTGGAGGTCGGGGTGGGGGCAGGTGCTTGTGGCCACGACAGGGAGATGCCCCTCCCTGTGCTGCTGCAGCCATGGATCCAGCTGCAACAGCGCTGAGGTTTCTTGCCCTACAGGATACTGCAGACCCCAAGGAGAGAGCGCATGATGCAGCTCTGCTTCTCACCCTCCCCGCCAGCCCTGAAGGAGGGTACTCAGCTCCCCTGCCCCCTCAAGCTCTCAAAGCCAGGAGACGAGAGTTGTAGAGTCTCTCCGGGTCTGGGGGCCTGGGCCCGGCCACCTTGCCCTACTGAAGGGGCTGCGTGACTGGCTTCTGCCCGCAGGAAAGCGTTCCACAACTTCAACTACTTCCTGTTCTTCTACAACGTGCTGCTGGGCCTGGGGGCCTGCCTCTCCCGGCTGCTCATCAGTTGTGTCCTGGGCACGTGGCTGATCGCGCGCATCGACAGGACCATCATGCAGAGTGGCTACGAGGCGGCAGACATGGGTGAGTGTGGAGCCCCGGGCTGGCCGCCTCCTCTGGGGAGGCTGTCCGTGAACCCTGGTGGCAGCTGCCTGGGAAGACAGGTATCAGGTCACACCTTTCACTGGTGCTCAGGGCTCATTTTTCCCTGGAGGCCACAAAGCCAGGCAATAAAAATATGCATCCCAGGAGACAGTTCGAGAATATCTGATGCCTGCTCACGTGGCAGACCTCTGGGATGGTTAGGGGCGGCTGAATTTTATCTAAGCAGTCAGAACTTAATGTATGAAGGCACGGCTGTGGTGGTAATTAAAAGCTTACTTACTTGGGAGAATGTTCCGTTGAAATACTCCAAACTCAAAGCCATTTCTGAGGAAGCAAAATGAGTTTCTGCTCAATTCCCAGCCCACCAGCAGTCACGCACGCACTCATCCATTGTGCCACTGTTGCCTCCTCTGTCTAAGCCACAGCTGCTCCTGGCCCCTGGGGCTCTGTCGCTCACCAGCTGTGTGGACAAGGGCACCATCTCTCTCTCTCTCTGTCCTCCTCCTCCTCCTGATATTTATTCATTTATTTGAAAGAGTTACAGAAAGAAGGAGAGGAGTTCCCCTATCTCAAACTCTTTCAAATAAACGAATGGAGAAGGAGGAGGAGGAGCAGGAGGAGGAGGAGGAGGAGAGAAGGAGAGGTAGAGAGAGAGAGAGGTCTTTGATCTGCTGGTTCAATCCCCAATTGGCCACAATGGCTAGAGCTGTGCCCATCTGAAGCCAGGAGCCAGGAGCTTACTCCAGTCTCCCATGCGAGTACAGGGGACCAAGGACTTGGGCCATCCTCTACTGCTTTCCCAGGCCATAACAGGGAACTGGATTGGAAATGGAGTAGCCAGGACTTGAACTGGCGCCTATATGGGATGCCAGCACTTCAGGCAGCAGCTTTACCTGCTATGGCATAGCACCGGCCCCCCAGGGTACTATCTCTAAGAAGCCTCATTCTCTGGATTCTCCACAAAGGCTCAGACACCCCTGGGACACAAACTGACACTGTACTTAAATCGTAAGACACACACGCACCGGACAGAGCCGGCCTGAGCTGCCCCTGGGTTTCAGGGTTCAGTGCATGGACTGGCATGCTCTACGTGGACCACTACCACACCAACCCCGTGCTCGTCAGCTTTTGTCACATCCTGATCACGGGCCACAGGGAGAGGAAGCTGCAGAAGGCCATACAGTACTGGTATCTAAACTCATCAGCAGGTGAGTCCCCTCTGAAGCTACCCTGGGTTCACACAGCAGGAAATGAGTGCCCAGAGGCTCCCTGGACCCCCGAGCTGCTCCCTCTTCCTCTGCACTGTGTGCCCTGGGCACCCTTCAGGAGGTGTGGCTCCGGGTCCAGCCTGTGTCTGGTCCTGCAACCTGGCCTCCTTTCTGGTTCCTGGAAATGAACTCTGGTTCTGAGTGGAGTCTTCCATCTCCCATGTGTTGGAGACTCCCAGGCGATGCGCCAGCTCCCTCCAAGGTGGGGCTCGGTTGTGATTCTCCTGCCCTGTTGCTGAGTACAAGCTCCCCGAGGCTGTCCTGTCTCTTTAGGACTCAGAGGTGCTCGTTGTTGTGCCCACGGGGTGGACACCCAAGTCTGGGGGCAGCTCCCATCCTTCCAGCCTCCCTCGTGTGCCCGGGAGTCCCCATCCAGCCTCTGCTCCAGCTCGCACAGCCCAGGCCGCCCATCCCAGAGCGTTTGAGGGCAGTGGAAGCAAGCTCCCCCACCCCAGTCGATCTACTGTGATTCTATCCTAGGTCCCCGCATCTCAGCCAGGTCCAGGACGAGGTGGTTCCTGCTGAAGACCCTGATCAACAACCCCGGACTCATCACACTCAGAAAATCAAGACCAGAGCACAGCTCCTAGGAGTTTACCCGGCCCCTGCTAATGTGCTCAGAGAGCTGGCGCTGGCCCCATGTCCCCTGCCAGGCCAGGCCGCATGCCCCTGAGAGCGGCTCTGCCTAACCAGCAGCTGTGCCTGCAATGAGATGGGCTGGCACAGGCACTGCCCATGCCTATGGCAAACAGCATTGGGCACTCATGGGACTGCTGGGGGGTCTGAAGTCTCAGTAATGTTTTACTCCACTGGGGGGAAAAAGCAATGAAAAACCAAAAAAAAAAAAGTCAGATGAACAAACTTTGCCCTCGAATGACTCCCATGGTCCGTTGTGGGTAGGCAGCGGTGGAGAGTTGCACTTAGTTTAAATACAAGAGAGAACTGTGCATCACTACAGGAGATGGCAGGGGGTCCACACCAGCAAGGCTTACCCCTCAGACTATCTTTCTCTGGAACAGAATGTGGCCTTCAGCCCAGTGGGGTCCTCCCTACTTCCTTCTTTCCAGGCTGTGTGGGGGGTGGGAGAGAAGGCGATCCATCATTCCTGCCCTGTCGCTCCCCCTCTTCGTGGAGGAACGACACTAAACCCTGCCTAGGCTTCTTATCCGAGTCACGGCACCATTATGTCGCTCCCCCTCTTCGTGGAGGAACGACACAGGACCCTGCGCTGTTCTTTCATCTGCTCGGCCCTTCCCGGGTTTGCTGCTGGTTCTTCCCGGGTTGGCTGCCGTCCCTTCCACCTCCGTGGAAGGGCGGTTCCCCCTGGCCACTTTCCCCACTTCCGCAGGGCAGCGGCACACCGCCGGCCGGCTCTCTCGGGGGCTGCACAGGTGTTCCTCAGGTGTTCCTGGTGCATGTTGTCTCTCTCCTCCTGTATAGTCCTTTTCCACCAATCCCAACTCTGCTACCCACACGCCGAGTACGCTGCTCTCCTCCAATCAGGAGCAGGTCCTACAGTTTATTGGTTGAACTGGAGGCAGCTGTGTAGAAGCTGCTTCTCCCTTCTCAGCACCATATTGTGGGAGAGCAGATGCATAGAATAAGTCTTAATTCCAGTAACTTAGTCTAGTCCGAGTTGCTCCCCACACTGCCCCACCCCCGATCTGGTGGGACCAGGCTGAGTGGACACAGGAGCGCTCTTTCCCGTGGGCACCAGAACAAGGAAGGGCTTAGAGCTGACCTGGGCCGTGGTCACAAAGGAGATGCACAGATTCTCTCCAACCAGGGCAGGAGTACCTGGGAAAGCCACCTGCCTGAGGAGGCATTCCAGGGGAGGGATAGACAAGCCTGCAGGTGAATCATGGGGCTGGGGGCTGCTCAGTGCCGTCCCTAGGGGGCCCGGATGCCAGGTGAGGAGGCTTAGCCCCTTGCTACTTGCCACACTTCTCGTGCCGAAGCCTAGGGCTCTGATGGCCTCAGGTCTGTTCAGAACCTGACCATTCAGAGCTCCTCAGGAAGCCTGGGCAGGTGACATGAGGACCCCAGCAACATGGCAGAGGTCCTATGCCAGAGCACCTGTATGTAAACCCAGTCATGTTGTCATAATTAAGCACCTGATGTAAACCCAGTTGTGTTCCAAAGCATGTTTGCCAGAGCTGTCTCTTTTAGCTTAATCTCTGCAAAGAAATTTTGTCATTCTGTTCTCCGAAAACTGAGAAAACTAGGATCCCCATGCCACTGCTTTATAGCAAAGTGGCATTGGCCAAGTTACTCTGTCATTCTCTGTTCATTGTCCTTATGTATAAAAGAATAATACCTCGTAGTACCCAAAATTGTTATCAATATAAAATGAATTCATAACTACAAACACCCTCTTTTTAAAAAAAGTCATTTATTTTTTAAAAAAACTTATTTGAAAGGCATATTTACAGAGAGAGACAGACAGACAGGGATCTTCCATCTGCTGATTCACTCCCCAAATAGCTGCAATAGCCAGGGCTGGGCCAGGCCAGGGCCAGGAGCCTGGAACTCCGTCGGGTCTCTCACATGGATGGCAGGGACCCAAGCACTTGGACCATCATTGCTGCCTTCCCAGGGGCATTAGCAGGGAGCTGGATTGGAACTGGAGCTCTGGTATGCGATGCGGCAGCAGCTTAACCCACGGCACCATAGCACTAGCCCTAACAAACACTCTTTTTAAAAAAAAATTATTATATTTATTTGAAAGACAGAGTTACAGAGAGAGGTAGAGAGAGAGAGAGAGAGGTCTTCCATCCACTGGTTCACTCCCCAGATAACTGCAACGGCCAGAGCTGCGCCGATCCTAAACCAGGAGCCAGGAGCTTCTTCCGGGTCTCCCACACAGGTACAGAGGCCCAAGGACTTGGGCCATCTTCTTCTGCTTTTCCAGGCCACAGCAGAGAGCCGGATCGGAAGTGGAGCAACTGGGACTAGAACCGGCACCCATATGGGATGCCACACGACAGGCCAGGGCTTTAACCCGCTGCTCCACTGCTCTGGCCCCTAACAAACACTCTGAAGCTAGTGCCTGACCTATCCTAAATTCTCAATAAATAGCAGTTGTTATTAATCAGGTGACGCTTTGTGATGATCTGATTAACATCTGCTCGCCTCCTCACTGAGACACCAGCTCCCGGGACAGAGGGGCCCTCCTGGGTTTTACTCGCCATCACTGAGTACCGCATTACCTGTGCCACGGGAGGCCCCGGGAATGAACTTGAAAATAGGGAGTGAACCTTGTGCTGGTGAAGTCACCTAGCAGAAGCAATCCTGACTTGAATGCAGAGTGAGTGAATGCCAGTAAGTGGGGGAAGCTAGTACATAAGGGATTCTTTGATTCACCCCACCGAGTGTTGTGATGCGGCTTGTACACAGTTCCCTGGGATTGGAGGAGGAAACCCCTAATCCTGCTGGTGACACGTGACACGTGAGCCTTTGTTTCCCTCCCTCCCCCACCTCTTCCTTTCTTTGCAGAGAGATGGAGACAGAAAGAGATCTCCCATCACTGGGGGAATCCCCCAGACAACAGCCAGGGCTTGGTCAGGTTGAAGTTGGGAGCCAGGAACTGAATTTGGGTCCTGTGGGCAGCTGGGATGCAAGTACTGGAGTTGTCACGTGCTGCCTCCCAGGATCTGCGTTAGCAGAAAACTAGGATCAGAGTGGAGCTTGGAATCAAACCCAGACACTCTTCTATGGGATGCAGATCCCATAAATCTTTTTAAAAGATTTGTTTGTTTATTTGAAAGACAGAGTTACAGAGAGGGAGAATGAGAGAGGGAGAGAAAGGTTTTCCATCTGCTCCTTCACTCCCGAAATGGCTGCAACAGCAGGAGCTGGCTGATCCAAAGCCAGGAGCCAGGAGTTTCTTCTGGGTCTCCCATGTGGGCACAGGGGCCCAAGGAGTTGGGCCATCTTCCACTGCTTTCCCAGGCCACAGCAGAGAGTTGGGTTGGAAGTGGAGCATCTGGGACTCAAACCGGCGCCCATATGGGATGCCGACACTACCCGCTACGCCACACCACCGGCCCCCACGCAGTGTCTGAACAGCTGTGCTACGTGCCAGCCCCCACAGGACTTTCTGACCTGTGTTGGGGGAAGGCAAGGTGGGGCTCCCAGCTGTGAGGTCTGTATTCTGGGAGTGTCTGATGACACTCAACATGAAAACACTTTATTTCAAGGCTTCCGGGCCTTACTGCTTCCCAGGGACCCTGATGAGGTAAACCCAGAATGTGCAAAGGGAAACCTGCTGCGAAGCTTCCCTGATGATCTTAGGCAGCAGAGCTCCAGGAACACAGTTCTGCTTCTTTTCACTCCTGCACCACCTTCACGCAGGCTCGGACAGGACAGCAAGGGCATCTGAAAGACACTGGGTAGCCTCCTAGGTCCCGGGCATGGGTGCAAGCTGAGCGGCCAGCGTATATGCCTCAGGAATCCCAGAAGGGGAACAAGAGGGGAAATGGACAGAAAAGTATTGGAAGAAATAATGGCTGGAATTTTCCCAAATTAGCTGAAAGACGCGTAAATGCACATCCAAGAAGCTTCATGACCTCCACGCAGGAGCCACTCAGTCACAGCCACACGGAAACACAGTGCAGTCAAGGAGTTGGGCATCCAAGACGAAGAAAGAATCCGGAAAACTGCAAAAGAGAAGAGGCTCCCTCCGGGCAGGCAGTCCTCCATCTAGTAACGGGGGATGGCGTTTCAGACATCGCGCACCGTGAGGCAGCACGATGAGGTATTTAAACCGCTGAAAGGAAGAAGCTGCCAATCAAGAAGTTTCTGTCTGAAAACCTGCGTCCTTTACTAGAGGTTGAGAGTGAGGCATCCCCAGAGAGCCCGAAGCTAAGGGAGCACTGGTAGAGCTGCCACCGGAAGAAGCGTGGAAGCGAAGTGTGTGAAGAAGGGGAGATCCCTGATATGCAAAGCTCCGTGGAGAAACATGGATCCCAGCCTGGGTGTGTATGTTTGGTTTATAATGTCTATTTCCTCTGTGAGATAAAGGGAAAGACAAATGCATATACCAGTCATTATAAATCTGTGTTAACGGGCACACAGGTATTGACATGTAATCTGTGCTGATAAACAGAGAAGGAGAGGGGACAGGAATGTGTGGAAGCAGAGTGTTTGTCCACAATTATAACTAAGTACCAGTATAAACTGGGTTGTTACAAGCTTAAGATGTTAACCTAATCCGCAGTGTAACAACAAAGAAAACTAACACACACACACACACACACACACAAATAATCAAAAAGTACACTATCAAAAATACTAAATAAAAAAGGCCATAATGGATAAATTGAAGGACAAATAGCATATAAGACATAGAGAAAAAATGGGTAAGTTGCAGAAGAATGTCCTTCCTCCTCAGCAGTTACTTTAAATGTATTAAAATCTTGCAGATAGGAGTGGTCACTTGGCCTGACCGTTAAGATGCCCACCCTCTTTATCAGAAGGCTTCCATGTTTGGCTCCAGCTCCTGACTCCAGCCTCCTGCCGACACAGGTCCTGGGAGGCAGTGCTGTTGGCTCAAGCAGTTGGGTTTCTCTCACCTACATGAGAAATCAAGATTATGTTTCTGGCTCCCAGCTCTGGCTCCCCAGATGCAGGCATTTGGGGAAGGAACCTGCAGTTTTCGTATCTCTCTGTATCACTGCTTTTCAAATAATTTTATAGAATTATTATTTTTAAAGAATTTTCCAGTTAAAAGACAGGGCTTGGCGGCCCACTCTGTGGTATGGCAGGTAAAGCTGCCACCTGCAGTGCCAGCATCCCATCTGGGCACCTTTTCGTGTCCCAGCTGCTCCACTTCTGATCCAGCTCCCTGCTAATGATCTGGGAAAAGCATTAGAAGATGACCCAAGTGCGTGGGCCCCTGCACCCACATGGGAGACCTGGAAGAAGCTCCTAGCTCCTGGTTTTGGATTGGCCCAGCTCCAGCCATTGTGGCCATTTGGGGAGTGAACCAGCAGGTGGAAGACTTTTCTCTCTGTCACCCCCTCTTTCTGTAATTCTACCTCTCAAAAGGTGAGGGGGGGACTTGGCAGAAAAAAATAAAAGACATGACCCATCTTACATGCCATCTACAAGAGACTCTAGATGAACAGACCAAAAAATGTTGAAAGTCATAGAAAAAACAAACAGAATTCACATGGGATCACAAAACACTCCCACTAGCCCAGGAAAGCCTGAGCCGCAGGCACTACATACGATGAAGCTACAGTAACCCAGACAGCATGAGACTGGCAAGAACCTGGAAATAAACCCACAGACTCACACCCAACAAGAATACACATTGCATAAAGGATGGTCTCTTTGATAAATAGTGCTGGGAAAACTGGTTATCTGTATGCAAAGAAAGGAACTGTGCGTATCTCTCCCCATAGACAAAAATCAACTCCATGTGGATCAAGCAATGATGTAAGGCCTAAACTAGGGCAATACTAGAAGAAAATGTAGGGAAAACACTCCAGGACATTGGCCTTCACAGAGATTTTTTTGGAGATGATACCAAAAGCACAGGCAACAAAAGCCCAAAAAATGGCAAATAGGATTTAATTGATCCAAAAAGCAAAAAAAAAAAAAAAAAAAATTAAAAAGTGAAGAGACAACCTACAGACTGGGAGAAAATATTTGGAAATTATTCATCCCAACAGGGAACTCAAACAAATCACAGCAAAACCATCATCATCTGGTTTAAAATGGGGCAAGTGGCTTGAACAGAGATTTCTCAAAAGAGGATCCATACATGGCCAACAAGTATATGAAAACATGCTCAACATCACTAATTATCAGGGAAATGCAACTCAAAACCACAATGAGAAATTGTCACCACAGGTGGAATGGTTATAAAAAAGACAAAAAAAACAACAACACCATACTGGCAGGGAATGCAGTAAAAGGGGCATTCTGCTATACTTTTGGTATAGTAAATTAGTATGGCCATATGGAAAGCAGTATGGAGGTTCCTCAAGAAAATCAGAACCCAGCAATCCCACCACTGGGTACAGATCTCCAAAGGAACTGGAATCAGCTTGTCAGAGAAATGTCTGCAGCCCCACTTGTAATAGCCTAGATATGGAATCAACCTAGGTGTCCACTGATGGAAGAGTGGAAAAAGTGTGGTATTAACACCACTGAATACTGTTCATCCATAAAAAGAATGTAATTTGTAAACAACATGGGTGGAACTTGAAGGCATTATAATATAAAAAGGGAAATATTACATGTTCTCACTTATATGTAGAAGCTAAAAAGTTGACCTCACAGTGATAGAGAATGGAATAGTAGTGGTCAGGTTAGGACAATGGAAATGTTATTCAAAAGCCAAACACAAATTTCCTCTTGATCCAAACTCAAGCACAAAGGCCCTTAAATGTGGGAGTTAAGGGAGGTCAATTCTCCATGACAATCCGTAAGGATTGTGGCTTATTTTTACTTTCTCCATTGAATTCTTTTCTATTTTGTAATTTTCCATAACAAATACATTGTTTAATAAGAACAAAATACCACATGTGATATATCCATGTCTATGTATTTAAGCCATGTAATTCTTGGAAAAGGAAAGAAACCCCCAAATTACAGTTGTGCCAGGAACTAGAACCCAGCAAACAAACACAGGCAGCAAAACTGCCCAAGCCAGTAGACCTCCTGGGGTGGGCAAGAGACCAGAGACTGCAAATAATTGCTGGACATTTTCTTTTTTTAATTTTAAAGACTTACTTTTTATTTATTTGAAAGACAGAGGTCTTGCATCCATTGGTTCACTCCCCAAATGACCGCAACGGCCAGGCTGAAGCCAGGAGCCCAGAGCTTCTTCTGGGTCTTCCACGCAGGAGCAGGGGCCCAAGGACTTGGGCCATCTTCCACCGCCTTCCCAGGCCATAGCAGAGAGCTGGATCGGAAGAGGAGCAGCCGGGACCGGAACCAGCGCTCATATGGGATGCCGACGCTTCAGGCCGCTTCAGGGGCTTTAACTCGCTGCGCCACAGCGCCGGCCCCCTGGACATGTTCCTCAGTCATCTACGTTTTTCCTTTTCCAGCTAAAACAGATTCACTTTCGCTGCAATACTGCACTTGTTAGTACAACCTGGGACCACAGGAGAACAAAGGGATGGTCTACCCACTGCCTGACTTCCGATGCGGTCGGGATCTTGTTCTGGGAATGTTCCTTAGCCCTCGCTCACGATCCCTGCCCAGGGCAGGGGACCCCCCCTCCCCGGAAGGAGAAGGGGCTGGGCATCTCATACACAGAATGTGCGAACCCCCGGTCCGTGTTTGGCGCCTTTTCATCTTTGGCCCTTTCAGCTCGGGCCACGCGGGCCTTAAGCCCTGGATTCTGAGCCTTGTGGCCGCTTTTCAAGTGCGGAGCAGATGGATTCCTCCGGAGAAGGAGAGTCTGTGAGAGTCGCACCCTCTGGTATGCACTACCCTAGCTACCCCCCAGCAGAAGCTGGTTTTATCCAAGGCAGAGAGAGCACATGGATGCCAAGGGACCACAAGGCTCAGGGCCGCCTCACAGGTGCGGGAAGCTCTGACTGCCCTGAGGTGCCTCCTCCACAAGGAGGGAACTGCTGTGAGGGGCGTGGCTCCTCGCCCCGCCACCCGGGGGCGCTCCCGTTGCTAAGGGCAACCTCCCTCCCGGGGCCGGGAAAGCTGGGCCGGCCTGCACAGCCAGGCTGCCCGCGTCGCCTTGGAGACGGGGCGTCCTGCCGCGGTTACCGCCTGAAGCGGTGCTCTCAGGTGGGGCCGACGCACAAGGGCTGCACCGGCTGCCTTGGAGCGGCGGGGGCCGGGCTGGAAAGCCGTGCGGTAGGGCACTGTAGGCACCTAATTCGCGTGGCCAGAATCAGGCGGCACCCTCCCCCTTCCCCCCCCCCACCCCAAGCTGGACTCCCAGCGGGGTTGGGGCCCAGTCCCAGTGGACGCCTTGGGCGCGTCCCCCACCCCCCACCCCGCCGCGGAAGCCCTTGGCAGGGGGAGATCAAGCTATAATCCTGCGGGGGTTGGCTTCCTCGAAGTGCGCCCTGTGGTTTGCGCGGTGCCGGGTGCCAGCCGGCCCCGGGCCTGCCCTGAGGTTTGTTTCAGGGCTGTCCCTCGCCCCCGCCCTTCCTCGTCCTGTTGAAAAGGAAAACCTTGAGGCCTCCGGAGCCGAGACCCCCTCCAGGACCTGCCTTTGAGGCGGGCGTCGGTTTCCCAGCCTCGGAGTAGGAACTGAGGCCAAAACCCAGACGCGTTTCCCAGGCGACAGCCTCCCGGCAGCGGCGACAAGATGTCGTCGGTGGGGAAGGTGACGCAGGTGCAGACTGGGAACGTCTACCAGCAGATCTTCCAGGCCCAGGTAGGGCGGCCTGCTCGGCTCCCCAGACGCCCCTCCCCTGAAGGCTTTCCTGCCCGCGGCTTCAGCAGAGCGCGCTCTGTGAGTTTCTAAAGAACTCCTGAAATACACGCCTGCAAAGCTAGCATGTCTGTTCTTGAAAACTGGAAAACCTGAGTGAAACACCTTACATTTAAATTACTCAGGAACAGCCTAGGTCAGCCAGCTGATGTCCTGGATCTTTGTCCTGTGCAAAAAAAAAAAAAAAAGCGGTTCTGAAGTTTTCTTCGCCAAAAACAGGTTTCATCCCGTGCCAGGGGTTGGGCCCTGCGTTTCCTCCCTCCCGGCGTCTGTGGCCGTGGGGTGCTTGGTGCTGTCCACTCAGGGTTCAAGGAAAGGCCTCCTGGTGACCACAGGGCTTGTTGACATGGCCTGCTCCTCTGATGCACTGCACAGGAAGAAGCACCTCTTAACGGAAACACAGAGGCCCCCAGGGGCTCTAAGCTGCTTATTTAAAAGGGATTTTCCTGCCTAAGTTGAGCCCTGCCTGTTGCTCTTTGTAGAACCTTTGAAACTGATACCAAGAAGCCAGAGGAACAATGAAATGACACGCATGATCCTTCCCCTACTAAAGGCGACACGTGTGACCTACTTCCAGTCATTTCTTTGCATTTTGAGGTCGTTCTGCATACTTTGGGTTATGTTTAGTTTATGCATTCAGTTGCTGCATTTAGCTAGTGTCCTCTCATAAAGAATATTGTAAGCCTCATCTCTAATAAGTGTCTGACCCTCCATCCATCAAGGGGGATTACTTACCCACAGGGGTATGGTTGGATACGTCTGTTTCCGATTCCTTGTGATTACACAGAACGCTGACATGAGCTTCTGGCTCCTACATCTTAGTTTCTGAAAAGCTGCCGTCCTTGAAGTGGCTGTTTTGGGGGAGGAGAGCCCCGTGCTGGTGTGAGGCCTGGGGTTGGAGGCCTCCCTGCCAAGTGCCTTCCTGGTGGCAGGTCCCCACTTGTCCTTCTAAGACAGGCATAGTCCCCTGAGGGTCCAGGGAGTCTGCAGCTCTGACCGCCCCATCCCGGGTCTGCTGTGAATTCAGGTGCAGCTGGTCCAATCCCTGGCGGCCACAAGGAAGCGGGCAGCAGAGCGTTCGGTGACCCCAAAGAATTTTACCGGGACACGCTGCCTGAAGAAGGCGGACGTGCCCGAAGGTCAGTTACCTCCCAGGCAGCAGAAGTGGAAGCCCAGCCTGCCCTGTGGCTGGGTCACGGAAAACCCCATTCTCTCCAGGTAGGTCCTGCCACCAGGCCACATACCCCCATGCACACGAGTCTTCTGAAACTCAAGAAGCTCCTGTAAGATGTGTGCCAGGTAGGAGTGAAGTCTCCAGGTGGGGCGGCTGTGGCTCGGACGACAGGGTTGTGGGACAGGGGTCCGGGAAGCTCACAGGGCCTCAGCTGAGCTAAGGGGTTTGGGAAAGGGCGAGAATGCTTTGGCCCATTCCAGAAGGCTCTAGAAGGTCAGTGGACGTGGAGAAAGGGCAGGGAGGAGGCTGGAAGAGGCCTTGCAGGCCACAGTCTGTTTTCAGGGCTTTCCTGCTGTGAGTAGCTGGTTTATATTCTTGAGATTCCTTGGGCAGCTCTGTGCAGAATGTTGGGGGCTGCAGTCATCCTTGCAACCTTAGTGGGAGCTGTGAGAGGCAGGGCAGGGTACGCCTCAGGGGTCTCTCGAGGCAGGACCCTCGGGACCTAGGACAAATTGAATGGGGGAGAGGGCTCCGGAGAGTCCGAGGTCTCTGGCCTGAGCGCATGGTGCACAGTGGGGGTACAGTTCCCCGAGATGGGAACAGGTGGGGGTCTGGTAGGGGGAGCAGGCATTCCTTGTGCACCTCCAAGTTCAGGAGTTAAACTTGAGATTCCTCAGCACTCCTTTCAGCTGCTAACTAGGGAAGAAGGGCCCCTCCCCAGGATTCCTGAGATGTGCTCACACAGAGATGTGCCGGGCCCTACCACCTTCAAAATGCCAGGGTCACTGACTCAGCGTCCCGAGTCTGTCTGGGCTTCCTGGTCCCCTGCTCCTGACACAGCGTCTGCCTCCCTCCCTCCCTCCCTCTGTCCACAGCCTCTCCTGCCTTCTCTTTTCTTCCTGACCAGGCCGGCCCCATGGCCAGGTCACTGGCTCACCTCCTTGAGCTCCATTGTTCTTCCCATCCTCTCTCCTGGGTCTGCCCTGAGTCAGGATAGCTGAACAAAATCATCCAGTCCTGAGGGGACCAGTGCTCCCCGATGCAGCCGCCCCAGCTCAGCTGCACCCTCTGAGCAGCCTGGGACTCCTGACCTGGCCCGCCTTCCCAGGTCCTCTTCCACACCAGCCCCACCCACTCCAGCCACTGTTTACTGAGGATCAAAGGCCATAGGCAGGTCTGTTCTCCTGGGCTGCCTCAACTCCTCCCAGGGGTTGGGACCAGCGGGTGTAGCCTTGGTTTCCTGTATCAGCCCCTCCAACCTTCTCCCTCTCCTCTGTAGGGAGCCCTGCCTCCACCATCAATCCCACTGTCTCTTGCCTACGCTGGGCCTGTTCCTGGCTCATCAGCCTCTCCCCACTTGAAAGGGGGAGCCTACATCCAGCCACTCCCCCCTCACCATGTCCCTGCCATACCTTTCTTTGAGATTACATGTCTTGGAACAGCTTCTGTTTTTCCCATGGGGGCATGTGGCTGGGAAGCCTGAGCCAACCACCACTCCCATCATCCCATAGTCTCCCACGGGGTGGCTTGGGCCCAGGGCCCTTGGGAGTGACAAAGCCTGAAAGACCACCATCTGCAAGTGGGGCCTTGGCCTCCTCGTTGGCAGCCCGGGTGCTCAGTCGCCATCCCTGCCAGACCTGTAGCGAGGTCTACAAGGGAAGACTCTGGCGCATTCACAGACTTGTGTTCCAAAGCGGAGGCGACCTTGGTCCGCCCGGCCAAGACAGTCCTGCATCCCAGCTCTGTCCTCCTGCCTGCAAGCCCATGGGCCTTGGTGTCACAAGGATCGGTCCTGGTGCCAGCTCTGCTGTATCCAGGGCCACTCTAAGGTGCCACCCCATCCCTGGGAAGTTACTCCACTGCCTCACAGGCTGGGCTGCTGAAGGCGCAGCTGAGGGCCTAGCGCCACCTGGCTTTCCTCCGATGGCTCCTGGCCCTTCTGTTCCTCAGCTGGTCCATGTGGAAGATGGCTCGGGCCACCTCCCACACTTGGTTTCCCACCAGTGGAGAAGCAGCCCCCTCAGAGCAGGCCAGGCTGCTTGGCCAGGGCACAGCTGTGAGCCTGGGTACTGCCCGGGCTCTCTGGAATCATGGTGGGCCTGGGCATGGCTGCCATCCACCATCCCACCGCTGGGGTGGGGTGGGCGGGGTCTGGAGCTTTACTCTTCTCCCCTGCTCGTGCCACAGGAAAAAGGACACAGGCAAGAAGGAAAGAGTCCCAGAGAGCGAGAGTACAGTCGCGGCCCGCGAAGTACGGGGCCTCCTGGACAGCATGGGTGAGCCTTTCCCCCCGGAGCCACGCCTGCCCGGGCAGGACACGGGGCTCCAGGGAGGCCTCACAGGAGGCCCCTGACGGGCCCACTGTGACCCTCTGCCCGGCCTCCAGAGGGCGACCTGGGTGTTGCCTGCTCAGGGAGCTGGGGCAGGGAGCCAGGGCAGCCTGCACAGGGAGCTGTTCTATGAGAGACAGTGGCACTGGCCCCCCGGGCATGCACAGCAGTACCTCTCAGTCCACACGTGCTTCCCTGGGGGGACTGCATGCATCCTGGGTCGACCTTGTCTCAGTGTGGAAGTCCTTTATTTTTGTGATTCGAAAAGTAAAGCCACCTCAACATGGAGAACAAAGGAAGATCAGACAGAAAGTAGGACACCCCACCCCAACACAAGCTCCCCTGAGAGCAGGTGGACAGCAGAGAGCTGGAGGGGAGCACAGACCCCAGGGCACATGGCCCAGATCCAAACCCCTGTTCATTCCCAGCCCACTCTGTCCTTCAGCCCACAGGCTGAGGATCTTCAAAGAGTTCATGAAAAACACATATTATGAAAAAACTACACATGGATTTCAAATATTATGTGTGCCCAAGCAAGCTTACCTTTAATCCCATTTTCCCACGTGGCTTTTTTTTTAATTTTTTTTAATGAATATAAATTTCCAAAGTACGGCTTATGGATTACAATGGCTTCCCCCCCCATAACGTCCCTCCCACCCGCAACCCTCCCCTCTCCCACTCCCTCTCCCCTTCCATTCACATCAAGCCTTGTAGCATGCCGAGTCATAAGGAGTAATGGAATTAGAGCCATTCCCACTATGTGACAGGTGCTATGTAAGTGTGGGTTATTATTATTAAATATTTAAAAACCCACAAATATTATTGTTCTACACACAGCCTCTAGGGGCTTTTCCTGGACATTTAAATGTGTATCTGAGACCTCCCTCCTACAGTGCTTACAGATTACCTCTCTCCTTTCCCTTTTCCCTTGCACCTGGGCCATGGCTGGCCTGGCGCCTTGGGGGTCCGTGCTCTGAGCCCAGCCCGCGGAGCTGCAGAGCCTCTCCCTGGGAGTGCTCAGGGCTGTCATTGCTCTGCAGTTCAGGAGAAGGCCAGCACCACCGTCCCACAGGTGCGAGAGGACCCCAAGCAGAAGAGATACGAGAGCTGCCTGGCCAGCTTTCATGAGGAGATCGCGCAGATCGGAATGGTGAGATTCTCACTCGCGCTCCTCTCCCGCTCTGGGCTGCCCCCGGCCTCCCAGGCTGCCCAAGATACAGGGACCAGTGGACCAGTGGGTGTGGCTAGAGTCACAGCAGCACGGGAGTGACTCAAGCTGGTTGTAAGTGGAGCTCCCTTCACTCTGGGGCAAAGCCTGGAAGTTACGTGCTGCTGTCACTGCACTGGTGGCACAGAGGGGGCCGGTGGGCAGTGCTCTGGAGGGCTGGCCCTGAAGCACAGCCTTTGCCCTCCCTATCAGCCCTGCTGGTGGCAGACCCAGGGCGTTCCCCCTGATGGCCGACCCTGGCCCTTGTGCACCGTCCTGCACTCGGCTCCCAGCCTCTGCAGAGACTCATCTGTAGTCGCCCGGTGCCTGGCACCATCCCTAAATGGGACCACCCTTGCTCCCGGGGCTTCTCAGAGCCCCAGCTCTCAACTCCCTTCTCTCCAAGTATTCCCAGAGTCCTGTAGTCCCACCCTGGAGCACCGAGGTGGGCCCCCCAGCCAGTGCTCGGGACGTCCCAGCTACATGCCAGCTCTGCTTGTACCCACGCCCTCTGTGGCTTGCTCAAGCCATCCCCTGAGCCTCCGTTTCCTCTCATGAAGCAAACTTGGCCTTCTTTCATGTGGCCACTTCTTGAATTGGTGTCTGTCCAGCGCCAGCTGGGGCCAGGCCTGATGTGGGCAGCTCCTCGCCGGGCTGTGACAAGAAGCAAGTGATAGAGAGGGAAGGGCCAACACAGCGCAGAGTGCCGGCGCTGGGCGTGGCTGCTGCCGGCCTCGGGTGTGAGCTCACTGGGAAACCCCAGCCGCTCAGCTCTGCGGAGCTATGCCCGTCCTTGAGATGGAACCCTGTCTAGGACCCCGGCTCGTTGCAGGAAATGGAACCTCTCATCTTGGAGACAGGAGGATGCTTTCTGAAAAAACTCTCCGAATCTGATGAAGACATCGACCGTCTCTTCACAAAGGTGGAAAATGACATCGACTTCGAGAACTACTCCTTCCAAGTAAGGGCCCCTCCCTGTCTCGGCCTGCCCCCCCAGTCGGCTCTTGCCGCCCTCCCAGCAGGCACCTGTGTGGCCCCCTCGTGTGGCAGAAGCTGTGGGAGCTGTGGGAGAAGGTAGCTGCAATGTTCCTGGTCCAGAAGCAAGGGATCAAGGAGCTGGACGAGGCCTTGCACTTGCTGGAGTTCTCCAGGGCAGACAAAGTGAGTGGGCTCCGAGCGGGGCCTGGAGACCCCCACTCCAGGGTGTACTGGACTCTCTTCTGCTGCCTTCAGCTCTCCGAGAACCGATGGTCACTACCTACGGCGCTGTGTCGTTCCCAGCTGAAAAGCGTGCTGACGAAGTACGTGGAGATCATAGAGAAGACATCCTACCTCATGAAGTCGGACGTGCAAAGGCTGATAGACCAAGAGGCCATGGTGAGTGGTGTGGGGGGACGGGGCAGACCCCCAGGACACCCCCTGTGTGTCTCAGGAATGGTGGGCCTCCCCTCTGCAGCATTTCCAAGGAAATCAGGTGGGAGTCAGTCTTTGCTGTCGTCAGCATTTTCAGTGGAGCCTTCTACCGTACATTGCACACTTTCCTGCCAGTGTAACCAGGCACACACCCGGCCCAGCTGTTGCTTGCACACCAAGCCTTGTTCTAAACCAGATATTCAGACATGGCTTGCTTATTTCAGTTTTAAAATTTTCATTATTTTCATGTCATTTGAAAGGCAGATACACACACCACACACACACAGAAAGAGAGCGGGAGGATCCTGCCTCTACTTTCACTCCCTAAGTGCCCCCAGCAGCCAGGCTGAAGCCAGGAGCCCAGAACTCAGTCTACATCTCCCGTGTGGGTGGCAGGGACCCAAACACTTGAGCCATCACCTGCTGCCTCCCAAGGTGTGCCCTAGCAGGAAGCTGGAATTGGGTGCAGAGCCAGGACTGGGGCCCAGGCAGTCCCCTGTGGCCTGTGGGCATCCCACTGCTGCTTGCGCTGAGTGCCTCCTGGGACGTTCCTCAGCTACTGTGTGCAGTGGCACAGTTGGGGACTTTTGTGGTCTCAGGGCGATTTCCACCCTCGTGAGCAACTCCAGCCTGCCTTGTCTGGTTTTTCTTAGCTGCTCTGGCCTTCCTTCTGTGGCCATCAGTGCCTGTTGCTGAACCATACCTGCCTCTTGGTTCTATCCCCACTGCTTCCTTTTCCTCACCTCCACCCTCCCCAAGCTCCTTGGGGTGGGAAACATGAAATTTGTGGTTGTTCATGATGTCTCCAAAATCAGGGGGAAACCTAGCCCCTTCGCTGTGCGAAAGAACTGCCTTTGGCTCCCTGGGGCTGTGTTTTGCATTTGTGGATTCCCTGGCCTTGTGCAGAGAGCTGAGCCTCTGGCAGTGTGGACTGAAGAGTGCAGTGTTCAGGATCACAGCGGGGTCCAGCCTGCATCGGGGTGTGGTGCCCTCCACACAGCATAGGCACGGGGTGGGGGTTGGGGGACATAGCCCTCCCTCTCCACTGCCCGGATGTGAAGTTCCCGAAGTGGCTCAGCCCTTGCCCTGCACGCAGCCTCCCATCCATCCGGGACCACGGTACCTGCCAGGACTTGTCGGGGTGATGACGAAAGAGGCTCAGCAGTGGAAGCTCTCTGTGGACAGAGACAGAGGAGAGCGCCTAAGCTGCGGATGTGTGTCTACATCTCACTGGGCGAGTGAGAGTTTTCCACAGTCCACTGTCTTTCCGTGTCCCGCTTCCCGGTGCTATTGTTCTCACCACAATAACTGGCACTTGCCACTTGCTCTGGGTGCATTTTGCTCATCTCACCACACGAATGTTGTGAATTGCGTTAGCCCAGAGCGTGGCTGCGGGTCTGGAGCCTGAGAAAACACCCGCCAGAAGTACAGCTGGCCTCACACCTCGGGCTCTGCGGAAAAGCACTGCTGGGGGTCTCCACGGTCCGTGCCAGCCAGCGCCCTCTCCTCCCCAGCAGGCTTTGGGCAGTGTTAGGGTGGGTATTTGGGGCTGTTCCTGTGGCTGGGGGAAGGGGATCCCACGTTCACTTAAGAAGCAGCAGCAGCGATGAAGGGCAGGTCAGTGCCACACGGTGAAGGATCGTCCCCACTCCTGCCAAGGTGGAGCAGGTGAGGCCCGCTGGGAGCACTGCTGGGGAATGTTCTAGCTCCAGCCTCATCGTGGCCCTGTGACCTGGTTCTCCTCACCCTCTTGTGATGGTGTGAGCACGCTGCATTTGGAGCAAGTTTATTTAAAAAAAAAAAAAAAAACAGTAAACATGTAGAGCCCCAGGAGTGCTTAACTCCTTTCACCTGCACAAAGCCTCTGTTGTGGCTTGAAGCTGGGTTGAGGTTTGTGTGGTCCAGGCCCAAGGTTAAGCCTTCCAGGAAGACCCTTGTTGCTTGTCCATGGCTGCTCAGCCCCAGGCAGCTTCCTGGGTGCCCACGGACCCCCAGGACCCCTCCCACCCTGTCACCACCCCACCCAGTGCTCAGCCAGCACCCCTCTCCCACTGAGCCTCGTTCTGAGCGAGAGAGTCTTGCCAAGTACAGCACTGCCCACCTATGACCACAGGTCATGAACCATGCCCTGCTGGGCAACCGGAGGGCCATTTCCCAGCTGTTCGTCAACCTGATGGAGGCCACCCTGCAGCGGAGCTGGACTGCCGCCACCGCTGGCAGGGCCTGGTGGACGCCTGGAAAGGTCTGAAGAAGGAGGCCATGCTGCAGGAATTCAGGTCCGCACCTCCACACTGCCCCGGGCCGACCGACTGGGGCATCTTTCCTCCCTTCTTGTCATTGCTGCCTCTCGGTTTTTTTTGTTTTTTTGTTTTTGTTTTTTGTTTTTGTTTTTTTTTTTTTTGACAGGGCAGAATGGACAGAGAGAGAGAGAAAAACAGAGAGAAACGTCTTCCTTTTGCCGTTGGTTCACCCTCCAATGGCTGCCGCGGCTGGCGCACTGCGGCTGGCGCACCGCGCTGATCTGAAGCCAGGAGCCGGGTACTTATCCTGGTCTCCCATGGGGTGCAGGGCCCAAGCACTTGGGCCATCCTCCACTGCACTGGACCATAGCAGAGAGCTGGCCTGGAAGAGGGGCAACCGGGACAGAATCCGGCGCCCCAACCGGGACTAGAACCCAGTGTGCCAGTGCCGCAGGCGGAGGATTAGCCTAGTGAGCCGCAGCGCCAGCCTGTTTTGAAGTTAGAAATAGATAATCAAGAAGAAGTTAAAAATCATCACTAATGCCTCCCCATGGTGAGAAGCACCCCTGACATTCTGGAATGTTTTTTCCCAGGCTTCTTTAGATACTCACAGCACCACAGGCAATGCTACACCCCCTTTCCCTGTGAGCATACAGCTCAGCGTGGATCGTGGGGAGCACACCTGTGATGTCCTCGCTGTCACCGCTCAGCACCCTGTGGGTCCTGGGCCTGGACAATGGCCATCTTACTCCCAGCCCCTCCGTGTCCCAGAGGAAGGCAGAGGCGCCGGTCTGTGAATGTTGCTTCGTCTCTCACAGCGACCCTCTCCCCTCCCCTCCTCTCTGCGTCTGGCCACCCAGTGAGTTCATGGCCAGTGACAGTGTCCAGGCCCCCCCGCTGTGAAGAAGGAGTTGGAGGACCTGCTGGGACCCAGGACGTGCTGCAGAAAAGGCGGCTGGAGCACCTCTGCTCCATTTGGTATGTGCGGTGGTGGGGGGTGTGCCTCTGCGGGAGGCAGCATGGCCCTCAGCCGGGCCAGGGCCGGGGGTTTAGACGTTTCCTGGTGGGCAGGGGGCAGCAGAGGCTCGGCTAGCTTTGGTGGGTCTGTGGGGTCTGACGCTGGAGGCCAGGAGGCCATGAGGAGGTTGCTGTCACCAGGCAGAGGGCTGAAGAGCTCATGGATGCTCTCTCAGTGGTCCCCTGGTGGAGCTGTCTGGTGGGCTGCCCAGAGAGCGTTCCAGACGCTGAGCCACTGCCCATGGGGGTGCAGCTTCCACCCTCAGCACTGTGGCCTGCACACTGGAGGCGCCCCGTGTGCTGGGGGGGTGCTCCTCTTCCCAGGCACCTTGTTCGTCCCTCCCATCTGGTAGCCCCAGGACACAGGTTCTTCTCACCTCCCCACTCCAGGGTCCAAGTCCTAGGATGTAAACGACTGTTAGGACCCCATATGGCTCAGGCCAGAGGGCCTCCCCCAGGAAGCATCCTTACCCCTTGCCC